TATGAAATTATTGATTGAATCATATAATAAAAATTGTAAGATAATAAAAAGTAATGGTAAAAGGAAAAGCCAGTCATGGATGAATAAAGGAATAAAAAATGCTTGTGCAAGAAAAATAAATTGTATAGGTGTTTCTTAAAATTGCAAACAAAAGAAGCTGAAGGCAAATATTAAAAATATACAAATAAATTAACAACGATAGTTAGGAAACAAAAAAAGAATTACTATGGTGAACTATTGAATAAGAATAAAGATAACATAAAAGCTACATGGGGAATAATAAATAGTGTGACAAATAATGATAAAACAAAATCAGTAATTCCTAATTACTTTGTCAAGGAGAATAAAGACATTCATAATGTTAAAGAAATCACTAATGAATTTAATGACTTTTTTGTAAATGTAGGTGTGAATTTGACAAGTAGCAAACCAATAATAGAAGACAAACTGAAGACAGTAGTTTAAAATGTTAATAGTATTTTCCTTGACGAGGTAGAAAAAGAAGAAATAAGGATCATCGTAAAAAGCTGTGGAAACAAGCAATCAACTGATTATGAGGACTTGGATATGATGACTGTAAAAGCTATAATGGAATCTGTTACTGATATGTTTACTTATATCTGTAATCTGTCACTTTCAACAGGAATTTTCCCTGACACAATGAAAATTGCTAAGGTGGTTCCATTGTTTAAGGATGGGGATAAACACAATTTCTCCAATTACAGGCCAGTGTCACTGCTTCCACAGTTTTCCAAAATAATAGAAAAAGTATTTGTATCAAGGTTGGATAAATTCATTGAAGAAAATAATATTTTAAATAATGAACAGTATGGTTTTAGGACCGAACATTCAACTGCAATGGCAATAATGGAACTAATAGACAAAATATCTACAGCAATAGACAATAAAAACTACTTCATCAGTATATTTGTTGACTTGAAGGAAGCTTTGATGTTATCGATCACTCGAGGTTACTTCAGAAATTACATCAGTAAGAGGTGTGGCGCATCAATGGGTTAGAAGTTATTTAAAGAATAGAAAACAATTTGTCCAACTGAACAGCACTAAATCAGAACTGCGGGAGATTAATTATGGTGTGCCACAAGGGTCGGTCCTTGGACCTAAACTGTTCATACTATTTATTAATGATCTTGTAAGTGTATCTAAGCTACTGTTTTATTTGCTGATGACACAGTATTGTTCTATTCAGGGTCAGATATTAATGAAGTAACTAGACTGATAAATGACGAACTGATAAAAGTTAACAACTGGTTTGACATAAACAGACTTTCACTGAATATTAAAAAAACAAATGTTATATTGTTTAATGACAGAGACAACAAGGACGTAACAATAAAACTAAATGGAATGGACATTCAAAGGGTGAAAGAAACGACATTTTTAGGAGTCATGTTTGATGAAGCTCTCACCTGGAAGTCACACATAGGTTATATCAGAGGTAAAATTGCCAAAGCCATTGCAGTACTACATAAAGTTAAGTTTTAACTGAACAGTTCTGGATTGCTGACATTGTATAACTCACTAATTGTTCCATACTTGACTTAATGTGCAGAAATATGGGGATCCACATGTAAAACTCCTACACAACCACTGTTTATTCTACAGAAAAGAGCATTGAGAATGATTAATAACAATCACTATAGAGATCCATCCAATCCGTTATTCATCAAACCTAAACTACTGAAATTTTATGATCTAGTGAATATGAAAATATTGCAAACAATGTACAAAGCTAAAACCAATACATTACCCACCAACATTCAGAAATAGTTTGAAAAAAAGAGTCGGTAATTATTTCTTAAAAGGAAGTGAAGTATTTAAAATAAACGAAATTTAGAACCAGAATGAAGGAGATGACTATCTCTGTAAATGGCGTGAGAATATGGAACAACCTTTGCAAAGACATAAAAGAATCAAAGTCACTAAATATATTTAAAAAATGTATCAAATCAAGTGTATTACAGAACTACAATAACCTAAATTCAGTTGGTGTCTGATTAGGTCTGTAAGTTACAAGAATATAAAATGAATCTATGTTTCGTTTTGTTTTGTTGTTTATTGAGAATTGTATGGAAGCATTAAAACATTTGGTTTGTAAATAGGGGCAGATTCATTCAAATTGTTTGGTGTTCATGTTTATGTATGTTTTTTTGTTGTTGTTTGTATATATATATATATATATATACATATGTATATATATATATATATATATATATATACATATGTATATATATATATATATATATATATATATATATATATATATATATATATATATATACATATTAACACTTTGAATGAAACAAATAAAATAAAGAAAAGAAGATGAAATATTAAAAGGCTCGGTATGTTTGTGCATTTGTTCTACTTTTCCTCTGGTGTTTATCTACCAGCAGGACTACATGAAGCAGGGTGGGAGGGGAGAAGCCATTAGATTTTACTGCAGATCTGAATCACTTCCATTAAATCTGCAGGATAAAGCGCTGGCCCTGGCAGGAAGCTGAGCAGCTCTCCGAGGGCCTTTCAGGTCGTTGCTTTCATTGTTTGTGTTGTGTTTGTGGAACTTCAATGCAGGAATCACTAAACTGATGCTCCACTGAAAGTGTCTTTGTTTAAGAGGTTTTAATACTCAAACGCATCTTCATCTACGGAAGTTTTAACAGGGAATTAGCCAAAGTTCAACCAGCTTCAGGTGAATTGCAGTCAGAGGAATTCAAAGTTGGATCATTTTTAGAACCAAACCAGTTATTTTCTATAGAATTGTTTAACTTTTTGACATTTAATCAAATGAAAATAAAATAGTCTCCCACCCTGGTTATGATCCAAGTTCTGTAAAATATTGTTAGAAAGCCCCAACCATCCCAATACGTCTTTTACACCCTCCATTTACTGAGCTGCAGTTTTTCCGTCATCGGAGATTCCCTCTGAATCCTGCCTCTAGCCTGGAAAATAAATGCCCTTCTTTTTAATGTTCATGATGCAAAATCCGTAAGCGGTCAAAGATAATTTATCGTCCTGCTGGTGTTTTAAAGAGTCATGTCTCCTTGCCGTAACGGCATTTAAAGAAGCAATTTGCCGCAAAGCAGTGAAGTTGTGTGCAAAAAGCATGAAACGGAAAGTGTTGCACTACCTGCTGTAACGGTTTGCTGCATAATAAAAACTCACAGAAGGGTCTGACTGCTATAATCTGATTTAGGAACAAATGCGGTGATTTAGATGAGATTTATCTTTTTTATGAGCGCTGCATCATCAGTGAAGCGTCTCAGAAAGGAAAGCAGAGAGAATAAAAGGTAGGAGCAGATTGGGCTCTAATCTGTAGCAAGGTATAGATGGATCATTTGGTAAATGGAAAATTGAGTCTATAAATTCACCCCAAAAGGGCCCCCAGGCAGTTTTGAGTGAAAGCGACTGTTGTGCTACAGAATGATGCTCTCTCACATAAAAACTAGAAGGCTTTTGGAGTCAGTTTTCCAGTTTTCCTCCCTTTCTTCCACTTTCTGGCCTTTTAGCCGCCCTGGTTTGTGCCACTCTCCAGGGAGCTGTGGTTTCTGAAAGGTTCCTCATTGTACTTAATCCCTCCATCTCTGTGTCCAGGCAAAAATATATCCGCATGAAAATCAAGAGGCTGAAAGGGGCCCAGCGGTGTGAGAAACGATGAGCTTCCTTTGAGCATCATAAAAAAAAAAGAGGATGAAACTAATTGAGCCCTACAGGTTCAGCAGAATCACACTTCCCTAGGCGGCAGCTTTTACGGCAAATAAATCACAGAAATGTTTTTTTTTTCTGATCTACGGATTAAAGTGTGTTAAAAGGAATATTTAATGCTCCCACATAAGTACATGACAAACTAATATTTTCCTTGTTTTTATTTAATGAATGACAAACCCTGATTTTCAGTGTTTAATAAAGTATTTGGAGCTACTTTACAACCTAGTGGAGTTATTACTGCCCTCTACATTCAGTGTGTTTGCTAACATTTTTACATTTTGGTTAAACTCCAAATCAACCCATGTTTTTGGTCATTTATTGTTCCAAAAGTACTAAATAATGAAAAATATCAACTTATGATTTTTATAAACTCACCCATCCAACTAACCAGCCCTCCATATCCATTCATTCATTAATCCTTCCATCCAACAAACCAGTCATTCATCCACCTATCCATCCTTCCATCCATTTATCCATAAATATCCATCAATGCATACCCATCCATCCAAACAGGGTCTCAGTAATTTGAGCAAAACTGTTCTTAGTTAATTTAATAGTAAAGTTTCTGTATTCGTGTTAACTTTCAGTTCAGGATTTTGTACAATTTGATTATTGGTTTTCAGAATTTTGTTACTGTATTTATTTTTTATCGTGACATAGGGCTGCACGATATTAGAAAAACCTGCGATATGCGATAACAGTGATTAATATTGTTATATTACTTGCGATAAATAAAAACTTAACTCACGAACAAAAAAATCTAAAACAAAGACTTAAAAAGACAACAACAAAAAAACTCAAAATTGAGAAAAACAAAAGATGTGAGGAAAGGGAAAAAGAAAATGAACAAGAAAAGGCGATCAGTGGATCCTGGGAAAAGCAGAATCAGCAGAAAGAGCAGAACTAAGCTAACTCAGGTGTTCGCTAACCAACAAAATTAAGTGCCGTCCGCCTCGGGGGCGGAAATCTAACCTATGAGAACCCACCCAATTAGTCAAATGGGTGAAGAGCTTTATTTGATTTGTTAAAAAAAAACATTATGCTTCTGTTTGACTGACAGAATGTATTATGTGTAGCAAACATTTGAGCTGACGTTGATTGCAATATTTATCTGTTCTTTGCGATATGCATATTGCGCATGTTGATATCGCGATAACGATATATTTACGATATATTGTGCAGCCCTATAGTGACATCAGATATTAAAGGTTCACATTAAGGTTGATTGTTTATATTTACATGTACAAAAACAATATATAAAAAAACTCCGGTTTTGTGCATCATGTCTTTATTTGAGTGTAAACAAACTCTGAAAAGAGCATCAGCCGTATTTTTGATTACTGGCATTAACATGATTTCATTTCATTTGCAGTCACTGATAAAACATGACCACTGCAGAAAAAAAGAAAAAGATCCGTTCATTATTACCTTCTAATTGCTCCTGCGTGTGCACATAGCTTCAGGCATCACATGGAAACGTTCAGACTTACTTACAGTCAGGTTAAAAAAACAGTAGTTAAATTGACCTTTTTTTCCTTTTTTGCAGTGTTTATAATAAATAACATGACAATTTCATACGAACATACGACCTTAGTTCAATCCAGCAGGATAACTGCCTCTCACCCTCGGTTAATGCAGTTTCTCACATCGGTTTAAGGTGCTGGGCACATGTCTGCAGGTGAGAATGGTAGCACTTGAAACAAATGTAATGGTGTGTGTGTGTGTGTGTGTGTGTGTGTGTGGGTGTGTGTGTGTGTGTGTGTGTGTGTGTGTGTGTGTGGACACGACCAGGCATCCAGAGGCTCATTGGGTTAGTAACAGATCAAACAGAAGAGATGCAAAATAAAACCTTATAAACAAATAAACTTACAATCGCAGCAGAAGCATGTAGCTGCAACAGAAATCATTTAGTCACTTTGTTCATTAACAACAAAAACATTCACAATCCAACAACAAAAAATACTGTACACAAATCATAGATCTCACCACAGCCAAAACCACAGACACCGAGGGAGCCTGTTTGTAGTGTTTGTTCGGGTTTATTTTGTCACGTCCAGCTCAGCCTCCATCTTCAACAGACCAAAAAACCTCAAACCCAAACGGAAGCAGTGCCAACAAATAAACAACTCCATTCAGGAGTTCTGATAGCAGCTGTAAATCTATGAAGAATTTCAAAATAAAAGCAGAAACTGGAGTTTGTGGCTTTAAATAGACCAACGTTAGAGTCTATCTTATATTATTTGGAATATTAAAGGTGATCCAAATGCAGACAGATCATCTGTACTCATCTCAGTAATAGGCATAGCTTTTTAAAACTTTGCTATTAATTATAGAGAAAAAAAAGACGAGAAAAAATAAAACTAGACGCCTAAACCTGTAGGCGGTTTGGGTTTATAGAAACGAGCTACAGATGAGGCTTCACAACAAAACACCTTTTAAGTCACTTCCTCCATCATGGAGACGAGGACCAACGTGTGAAGAAAGTGAGCTTTGAAGGTGGAGGCTGAGCGGCTATATAGAGCGTCTCCTCTTTGTTGTGTGGCTGTACATACGACTGTATGCTGAATCCTTCCATCACACCACCTTTTAAGGCTTTCAAGCTGATTTGGATCAAAGTCAGTCTTGGGAGAATAAACATTAAGTTAAAGGAAATCATAGCCTGCCTTCAAATATCTCTGAATTCCATTTTTCAGACACATTTCAACAGCTGCTTGGTCTCTCGACTCACAAAAGGAGGCTGAGATCTCTCCAGACGATCATTCTCTACTGGCATCGATTAAAAAGCTTTGTCTCACAGTTTAAGGACGTGAAATGCTGATTTGTTGCGTGAAATCTTGATGGAGTCCTTTCCAAATCAAAAATAAGTCGAGAACTAAGAATTGAAGCTTAGGAATGCAACAGACTGACAGAGATGCAGCAGCAGAGGAGTAAAGGAGGAAAAGAGGAGATAAAATGTTAAAATGGATCCCACACTGGCCACGAGATTAGAGTAGATCATCAGTACAGCAGGCTATAAGTGACTTCATAAGTAGATGTGTAGCAGTCGCAGCTGCCACCTTCAGGTTTGACTAAAAGGAAACGGGAACAGGAGGAGGAGAACATCTTGTTCCAGGATTTAGATTTAAATATATATATATTAATTCTTTTGATTTTTTTGAAGCCAACATTCCTCCTGCTGGGTGGGTTGGGAAGAGGGCTTTTATGTGAAGTTCTGGAGAGGCTGGCTGACCCGCATGCACAACCAGTAGAAGGCCCGGGCCAACATGACGAGAACCAGGAGCAGCATGACGGCCCACGAGGCGTAGATCCCCGGGTAGGTCTGAGCCTTCACCCATGTTCCAGCCTGCAACCATAACAAAGAGTTCAGACCTTCAAGCTGGAAACCGACACTGGGTGGGCGAGCTTTTGCTCTTCAGGCTCCACTCGGCTATGTGCTACCACTAGATATCAGACATGCTTACTCAGTTGAGGTTTACAGCGAAAATAAAAAACAATCATTTTAACAAAATCTTTGAGTGTTTTTATTCATTTTTTGTTGATTTTGTTTTGTTTGGACTTTGCTTTAACTAACAGTTGAATTCCTATTTCTTACATATGTTAATTGTTACGGTCTTTTACACTTTCATGATCGTTTTTCCATATTTTGCAGAACTTTGTCTAAATGCACAATATAAATAAAGTTATTATCATTATTAAATCTGGTTCTGTCATTAGTTTAGGGACAAGGACACGACAGCAACAGACGGAGCGGGGACTCAACACGGGACATAGACTCCTCTGCCACCGTCGCCCTATGTGATCTGGAAAAACTTGTTCAGGGTTGTTGTTTATAAAAAGCACTCTGCACCTCACCCAGATGAGTACTGATGCTCACCAGCTAGAACCAACAACAGTGAGGTGGAAGAGGAAGTTTAGCGTTAACCGTTTTTTCTACTTTTCCTCCTTTCTGTCCAAACCTTGTACATTTCTGAAGAAATGGTTTTGTTTGTTAAGCGTAAAAAGGCACCTAAACGAAATGTAATCTTGCTGAAACAGAATGAACGAGTCGCAGCATGGAAGCCATTCAGAACTGTAGCTGGAAGAAGAGCTAGCAGAGAGTCATGGAAACACATCATTTGTTCCTGTTTCTTTAGAGGAATATGAAAAACGAAGATAACCCAGTTTCACAAGGACAAAAGAGTTTTTGGGCCAACAAGAAGATTCCCAAAAAGCTATTAAGCAGAGACGGTGCATATTCAGATTAGTTTGCAATGAGCTCTCCAACATTCCCAAGACTAGTGGACAAAAGACGAGAGTAAGAGTAGAAAAAAACACAAGAATAAATAAAAAATAATTAAAAATAGTTTGTATTAGTTTTGCATCTTTTCATTTTTAATGATTAAATCAATTGAATATGGAAATTTAGAAAGACTAAACAATGAATCAGCTGATATTTAACAAAACATCTGAAAAGAAAAAATAAAAGACAATCGGAGAGAGAAAGTTTTTTTCTCCTTGGAGACAAAAGAAATGAGGGATGGCTCAAGACTTTTGCACAGCAGTTTACTGCAGCTGTTCATCTTTAGGAGCTTGTGTAATGCTAATATGTTTATAAATGTCTAAAGCATTTAATTCACAATATATTATTCTCAAAAGGATTAAAACCTCCTATAATAAACTATTTTCTTGAGCTTAGATTATTTAACTCTGTAAAATAAACATTAATGATCTACATAGAAACCCAGGAACGGGCTCTTGAGAAAATGTCTTTAAACAGGTCATCTGTAACCGTTCCACTGCTCACCTTATGCTGCTGAAATACCTCGTATGTCCACGACCCTAAAGCCCGTTATGGAGAGCCACTTAAACCATGAGCTATTTTAATTAGTCACTTTTTTAAGTTCATATGATTAAAAATATAATAAAGTGCAAACATTTGTCTTTAAACTGTTCTTATAATTAAAGCAGTGATATAGGTGAAACTAGATTAAGCTGTGGGACGTTTATTGCCAGTCACCGGTGCTATGCAATCATTTTTACATGGCACAGTAAATCTCTGCTCTTTGCAGAAGCTGATTTTTGTGTTCCTCTAGCGCCCTCCGCTGGACACTTAGCAGAAGTTTGGTTTTCATGATGATTTTAAGACTCCTGCAATCTTTATTTGCTGTTGAAATAAAAGTAAAACTGGTTTCTGCCATGTAGTTTCATCTGGATGAGAGTAGACGGTCCTGCAACAACGCCAACTCACCATCAGCCCAGCAGTGGAAACGCTGAATAGCAAGCAGAGTAGAAAACACCACAAGCTCCGCCTCCGGGGGTACCGCTGACCAATCGATGAGCTGCAGAAGGGAGGGAGGAAACCCAGTCTAAATGGAGATTTCACCATAGCACAATAGCACCAGATGTTTTAACACCAGGCATTTTCCCAATCAGGCAGGAAGCCCAGCTGTTGCCACTACCAAAGGCTTTGTTAGAGCCACCGTGAACAACTACAATCCCCAAACCTGTTCTTCTGCATGTCCAAACTACTTAGAATGAAACCAGCCATTAAAGACGGGATGGACGGTCTTTAGTTTCGTAATTGGAGACAATAAAAACTAGTCCTGATTGTGCTACGCAGCAACAACACTGTTAAATTCATGTTCCTGCAAAAACTCTTGACAAAATAACATGAAATCATTCTGAACGTTTAGATGTGAACAGCGTCACACATCAGCTCTGAAAAATACCTACAATGACATAAATAGCATTAATAAAAGTATTTTTGAGCTTGATTAGAAGAAACATTTAATTTTGAACGGAAAGAAAGAGAAAAACACTTTGCTGCATCTCCTCTGGGTCTCTGTTGCATTCTTTGAGGCATGGACTCCACAAAAGAAAAACAATGACTTTCATCCATCAGGTACCAGCTTGCTCATTTAGCAGCTGACAGATCAGCTTTGCAGGATGGAGCTTCATCGTGGACCACTTTTCCTATTTCTGTAATGAATCTTCAATCGCTCCGTTTCCTGGCCCTTTCACTGAGCTTTTCTTTCAGGAATAAAAGTTTGAACCCACTTTGCTTTGTGGAAACTGCCATTATAGCCATCTTTAAACATCTTCTCCACTGATGGAATGAGAAACTGTTTAAAGAATGCACCCGCTGCTGCAGACTGAGTAAAGTGCAATAGAAAATCGCTTTAATAGCTGCTAATATGGTTCCTTTACAGCAGATCATAAAGTCTGTGCACCATCTAAGAAGCTTTGTGATGCAGAAACTGACAGATTAAAAAAAGAAAATACAGAAAAGCTTTGAGAGGCGAGGAGAGATCTTGTCAAATTAAAATGAAGTTGAGCTTTGATTTTAGGTTACTACCTGCTCACTTTGAGTTAAAGCTTCAATCAATGCCAAATATTGCGAAGAAGAAAAAAAAAAGCCAGAATCATCTGTAACCCCGGCTTTCCACGGGAGCCGTCAGCAGCACGTTACTGCAGCAGCACGTCATAGCTGCTGATAGGAACCGCTGTGGTCAACAGAACCTTTTCCACTGGAGCCGTCAGCAGCGCGAGTCGGCCGCGTCTCAGGAGCAGCATGTCGCGGCCTTTACGCGCCGGTTCTATTTTCTACGTGCGACGCCTCTGAAACGGGTCAAGTTCGACATTTTTGGGGAAGAAAAGACAGGAAATCGGACGCGGAAATGGAGAGAAGCTACCGAGATTTTCAGAATAAAGAACGTACTGCCTTCCGGTTGCTTTACTTTAAAAAAGATTACTAACTGTGCGGCACCGTGAGAAGTTATCACCTAGCTAGCGGTCTCCTTTGTTTTTCAGGTCCGTATTGGCAATTATAAAACGGACAGAACATAAAACACAAACCATGTTGTAGTTTTCTCCTGCTTGTTGTTGTGTTTACTGACGAAGTCACTCGTGTGACTTCGTGCTCTGTCGGTGACAGCTGCTCCCCTGCTGCTTCACGTCTCGTGGGAAGGGCCAAGCAGCAGCTTACGCGAGCAAGACGTGCTGCTGCAGTAACGTGCTGCTGAGGGCTCCTGTGGAAACCCGGGGTAAGAAGGTCATTTCCTTAAAGCTACTTACACTTTCCTGCAGTGTGGGCATCTGGCCAGCGTCCGGTCTGTGAACTCTGTCCACTGGAATAATAAAAAAAAAAAAAAAGGGTTTAATTGGAGCCAAAAAGCTGCATGTTGTCCAGTCATCAGTGACCAAGTTGGAAATCGGTCAAAAGTGGTCAGTTTATGTTTAAAGTAACAGTAGTTTTTTTTTTTACTTGAAGCTAGAGCTTTAACATTGATCTCAATGATTTTGAGTGAGAAACTTGACCAGTTTCATTTTTAACACAGAGGAGCTGCTCAGTGCTACTTTGGTTTACAGGTTTTACACAAACTCTGTCTTTTGCCTTAAATTTACATATTTCCTATCAAAATTAAAAGCCAATGTGACACATGAATGTTAAACAGTCCAGTTTAGAAATGATTTAAGAGCCGTTGTTGCTGTTGAAGCTGCTTCATTATCGGTTTATGATGTGAAAATGGAAGTCAAGGTTAAGGATTTTCTTTTTCACTGCTTTTCTTCTGGTTTTATCAAAAGTGACTAAATCAGAGGAGGCTGGTTGAGTTGTGGAGGGGATTTAAAGGGCAAGTTGGTTTCCATGGAACTGAATGAAGCAGTGAAACTGATCTGCAAATTAAAGGGTAATGAAATCCTAAACTTTCAGCCTTTTGGAATAGCTGGTATTTGAAGAATAATTAAAACAAAAGGAACACATTATGTCTGAGTATTGTTTTTGTTTTACAAGAAGCACAAAGAACAACATGGATGCATGTTTGACTCCACCCGGGGCAGAGATCTGAATTTAAGCAGATGGCAAAGCTCCAGCTGGATTTAAACACCCCCACAGCACCAGTCAGACTTCCTCAGACCAGACCTACCTTTATCATACATTCAAACCATTTTCACCTGTCAGACAGATCAGATTGGTAAAAGAGCAGCAAGTCTCTTCTCGTCCCCCTTCAGTGCTAAATGATTGTAACAAATCAGCGGCGTGTAGCTGTGGTTATTGATCTGCAGCAACGTTTTCTTAGCCTGCAGCGTGGGTGTTTTTGGATTTTCAGTAATTCACTTGCAACAGTAAATTTAACAACAAAAACCTTGCAGACCTCCTGAAACTGTCACAGGAAACTTCCGCCAAAATCCCCTCACTTCGGTACCTTTTCTACTCAGACATTGAACCAGCGGTGGGAGATTTGGGGCGGGTTCTAGACATTTTGACCGGTTATTTGCGATGTTTTCTCAGATTGTTGGTGCTGAGCTGCTGGGAATAAACCAAGAAAGCTAAAAACTCAATTTTTCCTCATTTAAAACACCAAACTACATTAGCTAGCATACAAAATTGTTATACAGATACTGAGGTGCATTGTGTTGGGAATTATGCCAGGAAATGTGCCGACAACGGGTTGAGGGCGTAAAACTCAACATTCAGGTAAAAGCACCTTTCAGTCGTGTACATTCAACAAGTGTGTAGCTTGATCGAAAAGAATACTACATCCTATTCTACCTTTAAAGTTACATTGACCCTAGTTTAGGTAAAAAATACCCCCAAAATGTGTTTGTTGTTTTTGTTTTACTACAAATCAAAGCACCTGTGTCTTGATACTGAATCCTATATACATTTGTTTATTCTAATTAAATGCGTTTGTAACCAGAGTGCTGCTATACCAAGAAGGTGTTGCTGCAGTGTCCACAGGATACTCGGGCCCCAGCGGGCTGGGGGTCAGGACTGGCCGGACCAGGATGTACCGGACCCAGGTTTATTATCCTCTTACTGGAAGGAGACAAACAGAAACTCATGAATCATATTGTTCAGTCAAAACTACAGGTTTAATGGCTGCAGTCTGGAGCTACTGTCTGCAGCTCGGCCACAGTCAGACCGCTCATTATTAAAAATGGCACTTCTTTAAAAGTCAGCTCCCTCTAACAGACCGTAGCTGAGAATTCCCAATCAGACGGAAAAACTTGGTACTAATGAGGAAAGTTGCCTTAGAGTGACACAAAATAAAGTTACCGATTACTAAGATTTATGCAAATGTTTACATGGAACTAAAACCTGTGAGAAATTAGTTAAGCCAGTTTAGACATATCACATTCAAATTAAATTGCATACAACACTAAGTAAATGTCACATTAACGTTTATTTTACATTTAAAAGCAGTTAAAAATTCACAACGTTTAGCTCAAAGCTCACAGTTTCAGCATTTACTGAAAAAATACAATCCAAGAAAACTGATTTTTAAAGAATTTTAATGAAAATTAAAACAGTAAAGTTTAAAAAATAAGTTTAAAACGTTACACATTTAAGCCTGGGGCATAAATGTCTTGCACAGATACCAGACTGCTGCAGCATGATGCTGATGAGCTGCCAAAAAAGAAAATCAATTTTCTGCAACTGACAGCTTGAGGTTTCAATTATGTGTAAAATACTGAAGTGTTTCTTTCCTTAACTCATTTTTTTCCCATCATTTTAAACTGAAATTTATTGAGACTGACTGCTCAGTTTGAACGTATGATAAGATACATTTCTTTATTTAACTTGACTTTTAGCGTTTTATGTCCTGAGAGCACTAAACATGTATAAATACAAAATAAATGTTGATTTTTTTTTCCATTTTGCAAACAGGAATTTAAATTATTAATTAAAGCAAACACTACATTTAACACAGGAAATAACAGCGCACACACACACACACACACACACACACACACACACACACACACACACACACACACACACACACACACACACACACACACACACACACACACACACACACACACACACACACACACACACACACACACACACACACACACACACACACACACACACACACACACACACACACTTCTCAGAGTGCAGAAACAAAACCCAGAATGTGGCTGCTCTAATGAGGATGCTACTTCCTCATCCAGCTTGCTGAACTCTGCACATAAACCGTGCCGGGAGCTCAGGCCTAACTGAGGGAGTGTTGTTCTCATTGCTCTCTCAGCTTTGCTCCTTTTTTAAGAGCAGATCGCAGCCTTTTGCTGCAGTCTCGCAGCGCTGTGCACTCACAGACAAACACAAAGAGTTTCTTACCAATATGGTCGGGGACAAGCAATCCTCTGAGAAGTGACTTTGCAGATGAGAAGACAGTTGCAGGGGCAGCGAACGTACTTCTTCCCTGCTGGGGCGTTCTTAATGGGCTGCAGAGGGAGACAGAAACACCCCAGAGATGAGAAGGGAGCAGAGCAGCGAATTTGAAAAAGAGAAGATAACGAGCCAATTATAAGTGATGGGTGAAGACGAACAAACAGAAAAGGAGGCAGAGAAACTGGAAGCCACTCTACACCAACTGTAGGTTAAAACGTGGATTCATCAACAGAAGGGTTTAAACGACGGATGGGCGATTTTCTCTGAGCTCATTATGAATCTTGCACAACGGTGAGAAGGGTTATGATTTGGACTCGCATCAAACCTTCAGAAATATTCACATCAAAAAGTAAACCACAGTGAAGTCCGTTAGAGCTTGTTAGCAAACAAGCTAACCCTGAGAACTAAGTAACAGTAAACATACCCCGCACTAACTTTGGGTGAACACAAAAATACAAAGATATTTCTTGAGGTGTAAAACCAAAAAAAAAAAAAAAAGATAAATATTTGAGATTCTGACAAATTTTCATGGATCCCATACTGACTTAAAATGAGTTGCATAAAATACATTGAACACTTCTTCCTAAATTAGAACTGTCAAATTAGCTTAGCATCTCCTAAAATACATTTCCCACTCTAAAAGTTAAGTTTCTTACTAAAAAGGATTGAACTTTTTTGGGACAGCTGTAGATCGGGGGTAGAGCAGGTTGTCCAGTAATCGGAAGGTTGCAGGTTAAATCCCGACTCCGACCAGAGAATTCTGCTGTTGTATCCTTGGGCAAGACACTTAACCTGCCTTGCATGCTGGTGGTGGTCAGAGGGGCCGGTGACGCCAGGGTTTGGCAGGCCTCTCCTCTCTCAGTGTGCCCCAGAGCAGCTGTAGCTACATTGTAGCTCATCACCACCAATGTGTGGATGACTGATTGTGTTGTTAATAACAGAAAGTATAGATTAACAGCTTAATCTCAGAGATGAGCAGAAGAGGCCAACATGTTATATGATGAGCACAACCCGTCTAATAGGTGTGCCGATCTCAAACTCAAAAATCTCTCTGAATTACTGCCAAGTGGCATTAAAAATCTGGCAGATTCATGAACTCACCCTCGATAAGCTCCAACTCACACCGATTATCCATGAGGACATTTTCTTCTTCCAGAATCCGAATTTTTACGTTAAAGGTGCATGAAAAAAGAAAGCAATCTTGTGGTCGAATTTGGGTACTGCGGTCAACGTATAAAAACAAAAGTCAGCTCTCAACCACTCCCCCTTCCCCTTTGCAATTTTCATTGCTGTAGCCAGTCATGGACCAGCGCCAGGAGATTCTAGATGACCAGTTAAAACGAGTCATAAGTAGATAAATCCATTCCACTATAAAACACAGCTGTTGGTACTTTTAAAAGTAGCTAAAAGATATTTTTAGAGCAAGCTATTTGCTTCTAATTCCCCATTAGCTCTGCTAGCTTAACGTAAGTTTCTAGCCCACTTTATCGAATATAAAAGTAAAAGCAAAAGGTGCCGTGGCCTCTTAGGGGTACAAGAAATAACTTCTGGGTTGCTCCTGTTTACTGGATAACATTTTGTCCACAACACTGCTGCTTTTGCCAGCTGGTATCAAATGACAAATGTCAGAGCAACAGTGAACATATATCAACTTAGTGAACTTGCGTATGATTGGCTCTGGAATAAGGAAGTTTGGAGGCGGGACAGACTATAAACAAAGTCTACGTCCCTCTTCTGCCTTTATAAATAGAAAAACTGACAACCTCCAGCCGGCTGAGAAGGAAATCTGTTATAACGTACCCTTCCTTCCAACACGATTACACTGTGAAATTTATACTTATTACACCTTTAATTCGAATTTTCTTAATTACCCAGTTAATGATCATTCTTACAGATTTGACATCAACCCTCAAACCAGGTCTATGATTCTTTACCTCTACAAGTAATATCATAAACGCATTTATTTCACTCACAATTTTACTATTTCACTGAATCTTTTTACTGATGTAAAAAAAAAACTGCCCTATAAAATACAAATTCACTGAAGATTTATGCCAACCAACATTCCTGAACAGACAAATGAATCTGTGCCATTTTGCAATAAACCAATGGACAGAATGTGCCTTATAGATGATTCGACGATCTCTGCTTTGGCAACTTGTCAACACAATAATATCCCTCACCACCTCACACCACCCAGCCCCTAATTGATCTTTTTTTTTCCTGTCAGTGGAGCAGAGGGGAACCATGGCGCAGTTGTTATAATCAGGAGCCATTCCAATTCCTTAGCAGGAGAAAGCCAGTAGCAAACTCATTTAGTGCACTAACCACTCTACTCCTCCATCACTCCTCTTCATTTGGAGGTCCCTTTGGATGCAAGTATCTGGGAAAATCAATGTAATGAAGAGACACACACACACACACACACACACACACACACACACACACACACACACACACACACACACACACACACACACACACACACACACACACACACACACACACACACACACACACACACACACACACACACACACACACACAGCTGCGCATCTTGTGTTCCTGCAGATTCACCACGTCTGCTATGATAAACAGCTGGTCCGCCCACATTGAACTTGTACTGTCTAATGAGGGAAAACTAAGCTGTGCTGAGGAGAACCATAAAGTAGCATTTACTAGAAAAACACCACGGCACGAATAAAAAAATGCACAGACTTACTTGTTTTTCCTCATTTTATATCTAGTTTATGTTGCACTAAAATAAATAACAGGTATATTTATTACAAATGCAGCATGACTCACAAAAAAATGATGGTCCACCTCTGCAGCCCTGCTTCAAGTGTGCATACATATGCTGCCTCCATCTGTAGCTTATTTGCACCAATTCCTGCAGCTGTGTGCAAATCTCACATCTCTTCTTCCAGCTGCACACGGATTTGCACGGCTAGTGAAGCGCCCTCGTGAAGCCCTTTGACCCCGTGACTGATTATCGTCAGTTACATGCCATGTTTTCATCAACGCAGCAGTCAAACGGTCTTAATCGTGTTTCTGTGGCCAAAGGCGTGATTAGGATTTGGTAAATAAAGTCACGGCTGGGTATCGGTTTCCAGAGACTTGTCACAACTAAACAGTCACTGAACAAAGGTAATAATGCAAAAACGTAAGTATTTCGTTGTTAAGTAATTGAATGATCTTGTAATTACTTCAAGGCATAATGAGTTTTATTGGACCTGCAGGCGTTGCTGAATATGGTAATTATATTTGTGTATCGGTCACATCTTAACACCAGCTCTAAATTGCGCATGGAACAAATTTGAATACTAAATACTCAATATTACATTACTGCTTGCATTACCATCTCATACTCAAACAGCAAATTATTTTAAATACCAAAGTACTCCTCTTACCAAATTCCTTCAGCTGCTATTAGACAAAAACAATAATATTAGATAAGTGAAAATTTCAGTCTTTTGTTCGACACAAAGACCAACCAGCTCTTGGCGAGCAGTACTCTGAGTAAATATTTAGTTTATATGCTGTAATTTCTGAAGTAAATGTTTACTTTTTGCATTAACACAGTACAGCACAAGAAGTTTTTTTTTTTTTTTTCATTAGATTTGTAGACCTTACTGAATCAAAGGTAGTCTGGCAAGCCATCCTATATATATGAACATTTAGTCTGGCCAGGACCAATAAAGAGAGCTCAGTCGTGGAGCGGGACCTACGGTTGTCTTTCAGACCGTTCCCACATGCTTTTGGACAGCAATCATGACATACTCACCACTATGGATGTCAGTCAACAGGTCAGTCTGCCATACTCCGTCGAAGAAGACGCAAATACATCTTTTATCTCATTAAAAGGACTTAAGTACTTCTATCTGCTCTTGACTCAAGACTAGCTCAAGTCTAAAAAGTCCCAAAATGTATGCCAAAGCTGTTTCAAATCTCAACTGTTCCACTCCCTTGCATCATACCGTCCAAACCGATAGAGCACTGTGATTGGCCCGCCGAACCAATAGAGGTGGTTTTCCAGGAGCACAACTCAGAGCAACTCGGACAGATGCAGCTCGGCCCGACCACTGTTCCCAAGAGCACAGTTCTGTATTTTCCTTTATCTCCCCTTTTTTAGCTCCTGCTCCATTGAGGTACCTGGCAAGGCCGAGTGGAGCCAGCCTCCTGATTCTGGCCGCTGATTGGCCAGGGGGCGGAGTCACTGGTTGCTCTGGAGGTTTTTGATTTCCGTTTTATTGCCTGCAGCCATTTCCTGGTTCAGAGTCTGACAAAAAGCCATAAAACTGAGCAAAATATCCAGTAAAGCCTATGTTTTCAGCTGAGTTGTGTTTCTGTGGGGCAAACAAGTTACCTTACACTGTTTACTAATCACTTCATGTTATTTTGCCATGAGGAAAAATCGTCCACCCCCCACGACTGCCGTGCCCCTGCAGAGCAAAATCATTTTGCTTCTACGATTGTCTGTCTAGATTTCTAGGCTAACACAAAGGTGGCCTTTTTTTTTAAAAATGCTTCAACTTAATCAAAATATAACACTAGCTCAAAAACAGATCAATAAGGAGTCTTGCAATAAAATGTATTTACAAACGTTTTTGTTACCCAGATCAATGCTGTTTGTTTCACTTTATTAAACTGGAAAAGACAAACCGGGTTGTCAACCGTTTTAAAACTCTGCTAACATCTGTAAGCAGCTGGATGTTGAGTTGCAGTTGTAGCAGGTTGTCATTAACTTCGATAAACACGACACCCAAACACACCTGTTAACCAGGGCTTTTCCTTTGCAGAAACGCGCGTTGCTCACCGTTGAGGCAGTGTGGGACGAGCTCCCCGATGCAGCCAAACAACAAACAAGTCTTGCTAGCTCAGAAAACTGTATTTAAAAAAAAAGGTGGTCCAAACCAGCCAGTAGGATCATGGGTAATGCCTCATATTTCCAGGTTACTGACCTCTCCCCGACTTGCCCCCGGAGAGGCAGAGGGGATTACTCTGTACTACTTTGTTGTTTTAGAACACAGCAGCCTCATCTGCAACTGCTGCACAATAAAAAAAAAAGTTTAAACAACTTATGTTTACATTAAAGGCTAATTCATCAAAGGGCTTTGCTAAACATAATGACATAACATCTAAATCAGGCATCAATGCAAAAACCTGCAGCAGACTTTTAAAACTACCAAATCTCCAAATATTGCATCTGATAAAAAGCAGATGCTAATGTTTATGCATCTGTCAGCAAAACATCTCATGAACCACAGCACTGATTTAGATTCAACTCTCAGAACATAATCACTGGATGTGCATCCACAACTGATTAGAGTCAACCCAATTCAAGATGGCCACTAAAGCTATACAACTTTAACACAAAAAGGGACAATACTGTCCATTTGAGGGATATTGAGCTCAAGCTTGAAGGATTGTGACACCAAGAGTAACATTATTTACAATATTTGAGAAAACAACTCCATCGTTTTTACACATAAGATGTTTAGTTTAAAATTCTGGCATGAAAGGCAGAGAGGGACATGCCTTTCTGTAAGGAATACCAGGACTTTCTTTTATTTACTACTTCCTTTTGTTGTTGTTTTATGATTGCTTGTTTGGACTTTGTAAAGTCAGAAAGTATTTGTTGTGCCTTTCACAATGAGTTTGAAAAACAACACAAAAGCACAGGGATGTTGCAAAAGGAAGTTGTTGACACAATAAATCCTCCCTTACAACAGATTATAAATCTAGTCAGTTCATGCCATCTTTTTTTAAATGACAACACCGACCGTTATGTTTTCAGCCTTGTTCGCTCTCTTCTGCACAGTGAAATCTACAGAAGCTTACCGTGGCTTCATTGCACACTCCACATTTCACCACGTGTTGGTGGGTCTTGCCCTCCACAGAGATGAGGCTTTGACACACCCTGCAGCTGATAACAGGAGCATTTCCACTCTCAGGGGAGGTGAGAGGGGAAAAGGGCGGAGGGTCCTCTCCTAGGAGCACCGAAGGTTGACTGGAGCTGGGGAAAGGAGGGAAGTCTAAAAAAAAAAAAAAAACAAGGAGTGTATGAGTAGTAACAGCAGTAACAAATGCAGAATTGTTGACGGTCACAAGAATTGTGCAGTAAACTGGAAAAAGACTCAATTCCCATGACAAGTGACCTATTATGGCAAACAAGATAATGAGATTTGCCCCCAAATTCAACAGAAAGAAGCTTTGGAAGAAAAAAAACTGCTGGAATGCTGAGCAGGATTGATTTAAACACAAGAGTCTAGGTATTTGTGAGAATTAAACCACAGTGCGGGACAGCTTCACCTAGAAATGATGCCTGCTCCTTTCGGTGTTTTTGAGAAAAACATGAGCTACAAATACATGCAATCAAAACTATACATATGAATAATGCCTTTAAACCTAAGCTTTAAACTAGGGATGGGATTATGATTAATTAGAAATAAATGCCACGTTTAAAAAATGCACGCATTTAATCAGAGCTTGCATTTAAAGCAAGGCGGAACCTTTGTCATTGCATGACTCCCTGGTAGACCGAATATCACTGACGCACACAACAATACACAGTGCTCTGCTAACGGCTACTAAAATGAAATAATATGAATAAACAGGCTTGCTTGGACTGCTGCAGTATTTGGGAAACACGTCAGCCTCTTCTCTTAACTTGTAAAAATAAAAACAAAACTTCCTGAAAACGACAATCTGAGATTGTCTCTGATCTCTGCTGCAGTTACCGACTGGCACAGACAGCTTTGCAAAAGTCGAGGTAAGCTAAAATTTAACATTTATGTAATATCTGTGCATTGCTGAAAGCACCAGAAAGACTGACGCTTTGTTCTTAGCAGTAGCTTATGAAAGTAGTCAGAAGAACAGCTGGGAAAATGCTTCATGACCTCACTACTCTGTAAACAGTCACAATGTGTCTTAAAGTAACAGAAACACTAAAATCTCTTTGATAACTTTCTAAACAATTATGTCAGTTTTATTGTGTTTTTCTGAGAAAAGTGACTGTCGACATCGCAGCGAGGTGTTGAAGCGGTCAGACATACGCTGATCGGGAGCTAAAGGGGCAGGGAGGAACGAAAAAGTTGTGATCAGGTTGGAGATCACACCAGATTTGCTGCTGCAGGCGTGAATCTGCAAGTCTGCAGCCATCACTTTCTTGACGTGACAGCAGGACTTCCCGTGCAAGGAAGGTCCGCTCACCTGTTCGCGATGAACAGGCGTCATTAATTCCTCGTCATGATATTTTATCTTCCTTTCATCCTCCAGTCATCCAACTGGAATCAGTTAGTGATTGTTCTTGATCTAAGGAGCTTTGAAAGAAAAGCGTCTGGACTTCTTTGAGTTGCTTGAAGACGTTTCACCTCTCATCTGAGAGGCTTCTTCAGTTCTAAGGTCAAATGATGGAGAGTCCCAGATTTAAACCCAGTGGGAGTTTCCCCCCGAAGAGGGAACAAAAGACCCCCGATGATCTTCTACATAAACACATGAGCCAAGGTGTGAGGGTGGGTGTAGGTCCTATTCAGCCAGAGTTTCGGGTGAGCTCATTGTGAAGCCTGGCCCCACCCTATCATGTGAATTCCTGAGGTCAGATGGCCCATGATATGCGTGGGCGTTGAGGCATCTGGGAAGGGATCTCAAAACTGGATTACAGATGGCAGACAGTTGGTTTCGTAAACCACCGCCTCTGTTCAAAGATGGTTGCTCACAGTGGACATAAATGGCTTCCTTTACTCCTCTTTCAAACCATCTGTCCTCTCTGTCCAAAATGTGAACGTTGGCATCCTCGAAAGAGTGACCTTTGTCCTTTAGATGCAAATGGACCGCTGAGTCCTGTCCCGTGGAGGTGGCTCTTCTATGTTGTGCCATGCGCTTGTGAAGTGGCTTTTTGGTTTCTCCGATGTAGAGGTCTGGGCATTCCTCGCTGCACTGTACAGCATACACCACATTGTTCAGTTTGTGTTTAGGAGTTTTGTCTTTCGGGTGAACCAGTTTCTGTCTGAGTGTGTTGCTGGGTCTGAAGTACACTGGTATGTTGTGTTTGGAGAAAACCCTCCTGAGTTTCTCTGATACACCGGCTACATAGGGGATGACAAGGTTGTTGCGTCTGTCTTTCTTATCCTCCCTCGCTGGTGTCTGGTCTTCTTTTCTGTGCATCTTTGCTGACTTTACAAACGCCCAATTAGGATAGCCACATGTTTTAAGTGATTCCTTTATATGTGTGTGTTCTATCTTTTTCCCTTTTTCACATGATAGGGTGGGGCCAGGCTTCACAATGAGCTCACCCGAAACTCTGGCTGAATAGGACCCACACCCACCCTCACACCTTGGCTCATGTGTTTATGTAGAAGATCATCAGGGGGTCTTTTGTTCCCTCTTCGGGGGGAAACTCCCACTGGGTTTGAATCTGGGACCCTCCACCATTTGACCTTAGAACTGAAGAAGCCTCTCGGATGAGAAGTGAAACGTCTTCAAGCAAATCAAAGAAGTCCAGACGCTTTTCTTTCAAAGCTCCTTAGACTACAATGACCTGGATGACTGAGAACCTTCACAGACATTTTGTTCTTGATCATTTCTTTAGTCCCGCTGTAACACTCAAAATGTGCCATGCGTGCTCTGGTATTAAAAGTTAGTACATTTAGATTCTCTGTCATATTTATGCCCGTTCTAGTCTCATTTTTAAGGACTTTTATTTCTAGATATGCTTTTACTACATTATGAGAAATAGAAATTATTTTTAAAAACACCCAATTATATAAACAAGTGAAACTGAAAAAAAAACTTGAATATGGTGCAAAAGTCCATTTATTTCAGTAATTTAACTGAACAGAGACCATTTAAAGGCTCAGGAACCAGCAGCAGGTGTTTTCTATTTGCAATCATAAATTTTAGTTGATTTGCGTCTTGTTTCATATCACACAGTGACATTTAAAGGATTAAAATGCTTTTTTTTTTAAGAAATCAAAACAGCTTGAGTTTACAGTAATAATATCCATGTCTAATGTTTGATTCTCGCCTCATTATTTTTCATTTTAAAAATTACTTTGAGGGCACATTTACCTGACAAATCTATTACAAAGCCTCTAATTAATTAGATTATTTTTAATCAAGTCCCACCCCACATCAGTCATTGGTCGCAGCATCCTTCCGCAGCATCCGTAGTAACGTTCTCAACGGTCAATCAAATCAGGTGTTTCTCGGACGCTAACCCACAACTAGCATCATACCTATCTGGTATGTAAGTACATTACGCATAAAAATGTTAAAATGCATGGGCACATTTCTGTTTAAACACCCAAAGCTAAACGGTTTAAAAGTACAGACAACGTCGTGACTTTAAGCGCAGGGACAGTTTGCCGGGTGCGCATAAAGAGCTACGGCTGACACATCTAGCTTCGTCAGTTAGCAGAGCTTCATGTAAAGGTTGTAAAATTGCATTATTTTCCAGCAGATAGATTTTGTGGGTGACAACTACATAAACGCAGACGACATTCTGATGAAGGACATTCAAAAACACACAGTTACTTATTCACTGACACAGCGGAGCTAGCATGCTAACCAGGACGTCCAGTCAGTGGAGCCTTAATGTATGCTCGGCTAGCTGGAGTCGGGTGGTGGACAGCTCTTTGAATACTCACTCTGGGGTTTGTTGGGCACACCGTACGGACCCGAAACGGGAGAAATCCCGCCGTTACCACTGCCGAGAGCACCATCCCCCAGGTCTGACAGTAACGGGGACCTCTCACCATCCGCCATACCGAGATAGAGGCGTAGGAGGAGGGAGGAAAGCGGGACAGAGATTGCAGACGAATACGGTGCTGTATTGTTGTGTCGGAAATGAAGGCGTCACGTGATCACGCCACCCAACACACCAGTGCTGCTGCGGTAAGGTGTCCGGGGGGCCTCAGCCCACAGGGGGCTGAAGCAGAAAGGGCCCCCTGCCTGATTCAGCTCCTTCATACAGTAAAATAAAGAAATTACTGCTTAATATGAATCCATTTAATCATATTTTAGTTTATTTGTTTTCTTTATTTCTTATAAATTTGAAAAAAAAAGACTGTTTCTGGCTAAACATTACTGCTTTTACATTTTCTACATTGACATCCATCTTTACTATGTTTTTTGTTAAATAAATACATTTTATGCAAAAATGGTAAACACACACACACACACACACCTTGTTTTACAATATTTGCTTATATTATTATTTTTTCACTGTTTTAAAATGGTGTAAAGACTAAGTCACCCCCAAATCAACTTGTTTTGCTGCTAAACTATATAAATGAGTGTCTAGTCATGCTGTTGACACATGCAGTTAATAATTTGGCACTTTAGTGAATTTTAGTTAAAATTTAAAGAGGGACTGCACACCATCAGAAAACACAACTCCACACCTAGTCAAGATTTGAAAAATGCTATAAAAGTGGGCGTTGTCAGGAGACATGGAATAGCATGACCAAGTTTGGGGAATTTCCATCCAGGGAGGGAAGGAGAGTGGGAGGAGACTGTATTGATGACATGAAATTGTACCAGCCCCAGTCAATCACAAATTTAAAATGCAGTAGCTACAGTTCAACCCACAGGGGGCAGCACTAAGATGTTTTTAGATCTAGATTCTAGATTTACTCAAGTTTACACAAATATGTAAAAAAATATGCACAGAAACAGATTGCATTTGCAAAGACCCAATTATACAGTTTATAAGCAGAAAACGTTATTGGGGGGTTTAGTTACACTTTAAATATTCTGCCTAAAACTGTCAGTGTTGCGCCCTCATCAGGTAAAAACCCTGCACTGCATTTGAATCAAAATCTGCCATCGCTATTGGCTAAGAGTTACACTATGACGTTAGCTGGTACATTATGATGTCACCATGTTATTGTTGAGTCTGTGTGGTTATAGCATAGCATAGCAAAGTTTATTTATATAGCACATTTAAAATGCAGCATGGGAGCTGCCCAAAGTGCTGCACAGGCTAAAACAAAACACACCCATTACAAGGAGCTAAAACAAAGGATAAAAATCTCAATTAAAAGCAGAGAAAACATGATGAATACTAAGAGCACAGTAAAACAATGACACAATAAAACACTAAAACGAGTCACTGTCTAAAAGCCAAAGTGTAAAAGTGGGTCTTTAAACGAGATTTAAAAACCGCCAGAGATGGAGCCTGCCGAACTCCAATGGGCAATGAGTTCCATAGCTTTGGGGCAGCATGGACAAATGCTCGATCCCCCCGCGATTTGAGTCTCATCCGCGGCGTGTGCAGCAGCAAAAGGTCAGCCGACCTCAACGAGCGGGTGGGCACATATGGAGTGAGAAGGGCAGAGAGGTAGGAAGGTGCCAGGTCATTGAGTGCTTTATAAACAAAAGTCAGTAACTTAAACTGCACTCTGAAAATGACAGGGAGCCAGTGAAGGTGTTCCAGGACAGGGGTAATGTGGCTATGTCTGTGTGTACCCGTCAAGAACCTGGCAGCAGCATTCTGAACAACCTGCAGCCGATTCAGGGCAGAGTCCGGAACACCAATGAGGAGGGTGTTTGCATAGTCCAGGCGAGAGGTAATGAATGCATGAATGACTGACTCCAAATGCCTCCGTTTCAGGATTCGTCTGAGGTGAGTAAGGCGGCGAAGCTGATAAAAACAAGACCTCACTACAGAGTTTATCTGTGGGGCCATTGTGAGTCCAGCATCCAGCTTGACCCCGAGACTCATCACACACTGTTTGGGGTTGAGGGTTAAAAGGTCACAAACAGGGTGAGAGCCATGGTGGTTGCGGGGGTCAAAAACAATAAACTCAGACTTCTTTTCATTCAGTTTTAAGAAGTTGGATGCCAGCCAGCCCTTCACGTCATCCATACATGCAGCCAATTTCGAGCCTGCATTTTTCTCGTCTATTTCCACGTATAGCTGACAGTCATCTGCGTAGATGTGGTAGCTCAGGCCATGCTGACTCAGGATATTGCCCAGAGGCAGAAGGTAGATTGAAAACAGCAATGGCCCAAGAACGGAACCTTGCGGCACCCCCCAAGGCAGTGGAAGACTGGAGGATGCACAGTCACCAATCTGTACAGAGATGGTACGGTTTGATAGGTAGGAGCAGAACCATTTAAGTGCCACCCCCGTCACCCCAACCCAAGACCCAAGCCGATCCAATAAAATATGGTGATCGACCGTATCAAAAGCCGCTGAAAGGTCCAGCTGGAGCAGCAGTACCGTAGACCCAGAGTCAGATGCCACCAGAATGTCATTTAGCACCCTAATCAAAGCAGACTCAGTGCTATGGTTTGGTCTACGTATTAGTGGCTCTGCCCTCTCGGTTTGCCAGGCAACAGCATTTGATGCATTTTTCAAACAGATGGTGGGAGTGGAGTAAGAGTCTTGTTAGGGGCTAACTTGTTCTTTTAAAGTAATTCAAGTAAATAAAAAAATTGTAGTTAAATAAAATAGTATCTAAAGTAAATTAATTTTGAAAAAGGTTCTTTAAACTCCTAAGAATATATCTTTGGATACTGTTAGACATTTTCAATATTTTCAGCTGTTGACCCTTTTCCAAGGGTTGTTGTTATTTCGCTTTAAAGCCACAGCCCAGGTCTAAACCCAAAAGATAAACCAGTGTTGTTTTTGAATATCAAACATCATAAAGATATTTAAAACTATATATGTAGGGCATATAGCTGCACAATTTATTACCATCTCCTTACAAATAGGAAATTGACGGGTAGAAGACAAGAATTAAATGCCATACATAATAAATACACCTGCTATTAAAGTGTTTACATGGTAGCTATCCAATGATTAATTTCACTTGCTTCAAAAGACAAAGCTGAGCTAAGATTAGCTGAGACTTCTGCATCTTTGCAGGTTGATTCTAACAGGTTATTTTTTACCATCATTAAACAGACTTATTGATAAAACTGACAGAAAACATAATTCAAAAGCATTTATTATCATTTCTCATCATAAAAGAGGACAATTGCTCCAAACATACTCTAAATATGTTCACAGAAAAGATTTACTTTGATCATTCGTTTTTCTTTTCATTGTGTAGGTAGGATACAGTGTATTTTGTGTTACGTTTGTGTTTCTCTGAATTCTTGAATCATTGTTGTTGTTTGTCACTGCATGTTGATGAAGTCCGTGGGTCGCTTCATCAGCAGTGTCACCTTCAGTTCCTGCTTTTCACTAAAGAACTGGGCCTTTCCCTCTTGACTGTGGATGGGATGGGGCAGATGGAGGCCCAGTTTGCTGAAAAAAAGAGAAAAGATGGGATAAAAAAAATACAGCTGGATGAAATGTTGAATTAATGAAGAAGGCACAAAAAGCAAAATGTCAACAGCTGAATGAAATGGTACTGAAAACTTAAAGGTGTGGAGCACTCATTTAAATTTGCAGTGGTGTTTAGTAGAAATGAACGCCTTGTAAGTTGTGCTCTGGGGAAGAAATCCTCAGGTGCACCAATTTTAGGAAGTAGAGGTGAGTTACATCACAGCTGAGCTTCAGACAGTAGGATTTGGACCCTTCCTGATATCTGGACAGCTCACCTATTGGATAACAGCAAAGCGACTCTACCACTGACTCCAATGCTGATGTTTTATCTGATAACAAAAGCCTGGAGGAGCTTCTGCTGTGTGGTGTAGTTGCTCATGCTAACAGTTAGCTTCTACTAGCCAAGACGTTCTCTGCTGTTTCCTGGGTGTTGAACCAACAACAGCCTTCCCCGTCATAAGACAAGATATGCGAGTGCGTCAATGATAAGTGACCGTGTGACGTAGAGCTGTCAGGATTTTCTAGTCATTTCAACTGTTTTCTATCAGAAGCTAAAGCAGGAGATTGGTGTAGGAGACTATTTTTATGTTCAGCCTGCATGAAAATCTTAGAGTTATAATCAGAAATAAGATTAAAAAAATTTCAGTGTTTCACACCTTTAATCAAATACCTAGACAGGGGAGCTTCAAGACTGAACTGCAGCTGCTCAGTCACCGGAAAATGAAAGTGAACATTTTCAAATGATCTCTTACTATTTTGGTGTTCGCAGATCAAGAAACGTTTCTTTAAGATCTAAAAAGACATCTGTTGCTTTAGTGTCTGGTAGTTTGATTTTCACCTGAATGTGGGAGAAAAGTATTTATGAAGAAACTGAATGTCATAGCCTTTGTGCATTTTGATTTCTTCTGTCAAATAGAAGTTTGATGACATACCTGCATTGCCTCACAGCACATGGACGATGGATTCTTCCTGCTTAATCCTAAGAACAGGTCCTCGGTTCCCACATTCTGCTTCAGGATAATTTCATATCTGCACACAGACATAACAAAACTGCCTTTCTTGTTCTCAAAATGTCCCATCAAATGAAGAAAGGGCCTGCCTTCTTTAAATTCGGTGGTCCAGGAGGTAGACCAGGTTCAACCCCAGCTTTATCCCAGCCACTCTGCCATTGTGTGTTAGAAAAATGCTTCACCCACCCTCCCTATCCAACTATTACTATTGTCTTACTCTGGTTGAGGCCGTGGATCTACCACATCATCATAATGGGCCCCCTCAGCCACCTCTTCTTCACTCCAGATTGCTTTGCAGTTCTTCATGTTGGAACTTGAAGCTAAACAGCAAAACAGGCTGAAATAGTTTGTGTACTGCTATAATTCAGAATAAATGTAGAGAACTACAAGTAAACAACTCACCTTCATCTGTTTTTGGCGGAGGTCCGATGTGTCCAGGGCCAAGCTGTGCACAGGCATCCGCATTCTGGTGAAAATATAATTTCTAGTATTTTAGCTCAAATCTAAATATAAGAATTATGCAGGCAGTTAGTACAGTCGGTATGAATTACTACAAAACGGTTGTGAATTTTAAACTTTTACTTTATAGTTTTCATCTTCCTCCTCCTGTTTGGATAACAGTGCAGACAGAGCCAGTAGGTCCTGCGCAGATGATCCTCCAAGATACGCCATTGGGAAAGCTTAAATCCTTTCAAAAAAACACCTCAAACCACAACATCTACAAATGCAAATGCTTATATAACAAACTTAGTTTAGAACTTCAGCTTATAACCGGCTAAACGGACGTTTGAGAGGTCAGTGTTGACGGTTTCTGGCGACGAGGCTATCCGGTTGCCCTGGCAACCACCAGACACTTCAAGAAACGGGGAGATGGGGATTTCTATATCCTGTATTTGCTATTGTGACTACAGCTGCGTAAAAATGCTATTTAATGTTGGCTATAATTTTCCCAATTGAATAATTTCATTTTATGTATATACCTGATGTTACATTTGAAAGTTTCGCGGTTCGTCAAATTTCTCAAGAAGGCGTCACGTGTAATGCCCCTCCGCAGTTGCCGTAGTGAATGCATGGCCTTGTTCAAGGTGACAGACAGAGAGCCATGCCGGGAGCGCCTCAACTGCCACCTTTCACCGTTTTTGCTGCTGGGGCTGCCGGTGGCGGAGAAAAGGAGACAACGGCGCCGTTGAGCCTGGACGAACTGTCTCTGTACGCGGCTCCTCAGCAGAACCGTCGGTATGCGGAGCCCGAAGCCGGGCAGCTGGAGGAGCGTGTCGCCACCTTCAGGAAGCTAGCAGAGCCATACTCGGCTTGGTGTTCGGGCACCTTCGACAAAATTAAACCCAAAGTTCAGAAGGTCGTCCAGTTCGGGAGTGACGCCTACGCTTGTCTGCAGAAACCTCCGAAGGACTTCTATCCTCGGGCGGGAATCATCGGCTTTGCCGGAATGCTCGGCTTGTTTCTGGCCAGAGGCTCCAGGGTGAAGAAGCTCCTCTACCCGGCGGGTTTCATGGCCGTAAGCGCCTCCCTTTACTACCCAGAGCAGGCGGCAGCCATCGCAAAGTCAACCGGAGACTCCGTCTACGACAGCGCGGTGCGGAGCTACGCTGCGCTAGAGAAGATCCTGAAAAACCCTCAAAGCAAGGATGCAAACGGGGACAAATCTAAACGCAACCCGTAGGCTTATGTTCAGCTGCTCAGCAATACCAGCCTGGTGGTGACAGGACTGGCTTTAGGGCTAGGGTTAGAGTCCCTCTCTGCACTTTGCTGTTACTCAGGCCGGCCATGCCCTGTCACATACTGGACCTGCTACTTGAATAATTAACCTCTGATTGTATATTTAAGTAAAAAATGAATCTGTGGGGCTTTGATTAAAAATCAGGTTTTAACACATTTTTCTGGTTTGCTTTGTGAAGTTTGAGTAGAGACCAAAGAAAACGAAAGCTGTTCTGGTTCTGTAATAGGAACCTGACTTATGATTGTTTTTGATAAGTTAAACTACATCTTGGAAATCCCAAAACCATGAGCTGTAAAACAAGCAACATGTTTTAAATGAATAAATGATCATTCTTTTGAATACTAGTTCCCATTTTGCATGTTTTGTTGTCACAAACTCACCTAAGGCAGTGCCAATGAAAACAAATAAATGACTGGTAACATCTTTATTTCTCTCGGCCAAAATTAAAAAAAAAAATTAAATATGATCTACAGAAATGTCCTCAGAGCAGCACCAGCTTCTCGTTTAGGGCAATCTGTGCTTGGGTCAGGTTGGACAGGTAGGTCACCATCAGCAGGTCCTGCAGCAATGACAGTATTTACATGATTACACCAGAATAAGCAACATATTTACAGTAATGCAAAGGGACAATAGAGGTAAGGCAAATGCAAGGTCTAACTGAAGTCAGTACAGTTGAGGATCTCTTACGTTGATGTTGGAATTAAGCATGTTCTCAAAGTCCTCAGCTGAGATGGTCGGCACCTTGTTGACCAGGTCCATGAGGAAGCGGCCCACGCTGTTATCTGCTGTCACTTTTCCTGACTGAGACAAACCAACCTTAATCTTACAGCCATGATCAGCGTTTTAATCAACACCAACTAAACGTTTTCTACAATGACTTAAAACACTAAATTAATTAGTATAAAGGTGTAAATAATAGTTTATTTTTAAAGTTCACTCACCAGTACGTCCTCGATGTATGCGAGAACAGTGGTCAGCATGTCCTGTATCCTGGCTGCAGCACCACCCACCTGAGACAGGTCAGAGGTCAGGCCCTTGGTACGTGTGGTAGCCAAACGTGTCCTCTGTAACAGATCCACTGGAACACACACGGAGTATGAAGTACGGTTAAAATCTACTAAAACGAGGCCGTTATTTTATTTATTCTCGGCACTCTTACTTCCTATCCTCTCTGTGTCATAGTGGATGTACTTGACAGTCAGTGGGGTGAACATAACACCAACTGTTTTTCCTGGTACACCCATCTGGGCACTAAAAGACACACACACAGGGTCACTCTCACTGTTGATCACATTAAAAGATTCATGGACAGGAAGCTCAGATGACCTGACGTAAGCGCGGATGTTCATTTTGCCGCTTTGCAGCGCCGTGTCCACTGTCAGGTGAATGGGGTTGGTGGCCTCACGGCTGTAGTACTCGTGGATGAGAACAGAGTGTTCAGTGATGTCGAACCCTGTGGCATACCTGTCAGGAAGAGTGCATTTGTTCAAGAATTTGGCTTCTCTTTAATATAAAATATATATATATATATATATATATATATATATATATATATATATATATATATATATATATATATATATATATATATATATATATATATATATATATATATATATATATATATATATATATATATATATAAGCAGCGGACATACCATCCAATGATGACCTCAGTGGGTGACACCCTCTTGTGAAGCTCATACATGTTCTTGGCAAACTCCATGTCCACAGCAACCTGCCATCAGAGAAAATAATGACCAAATCTTTACTCAACAGCCTTTGGAAAGAATGTTATTCCATTTTCTTCAACTTATCCAGAGTCGGGTCGTGGGGGCAGCAGCCTAAGTCGAGAGGTTCAGACTTCCCCCTCCCCGGCCACTTGGGCCAGCTCCTCCGGGGGAATCCCAAGGCGCTCCCTGGCCAGGCGAGAGACATAGTCCCTCCACCGTGTCCTGGGTCTACCTTTAGGTCTCCTCCCGGTTGGACGTGCCTGGAAAACCTCACCAGGGAGGAGTCCAGGAGGCATCCTAATCAGATGCCTGAGCCACCTCAACTGGCTCCTCTCAATGGGAAGGAGCAGCGAATCTACTCTGAGCCCCTCCTGGATGACCAAGCTTCTCACCCTGTCTCTAAGGGAGGGCCCAGCCACCCTGCAGAGAAAACTCTTTTTGACCGCTTGTATCTGCGATCTCGTTCTTTCGGTCACAACCCAAAGCTCGTGAGCATAGGTGAGGGTAGGAACGTAGATTGACCGATAATTCGAGAGCTGAGCCAGATGGCGAAGCTCTCTTCACCACGACAGATTAGTACAACGCCTGCAGCACTGCAGGTGCAGCACATATCTGCCTGTCGATCTCGCGCTCCAACTTTCCCTCACTAGAGAACAAGACCCTGAGATACCTCCAGAGCAAGTCACCCCCAAATCAACCCTTTTTTTGCTGATAAACTACATAAACGACTGTCTAATCATGATGTAGACACGTGTTGTTAATATTTTGGCACTGTAGTGCATCTTAATTAAACTTTAAATCTTCTGCCTATAACTGTCGTTGTGCCCTCTTCAGGTAAAAACTCTGCATTTGAATTAAAATCTGCCATCGCTATTGGCAAAGAGGTACACTATGATGTTAGCTGGCACACTATTATGTCACAATGTTGTTGTGAGCCTGTGTGTGTGTATTTGTTAGTGGCTCCGCCCTCTCGGTCTGCTAGGCAACAGCATTTGTTGCATTTTTTTAAACAGGAAGTGGGAGTGGAGTAAAGCTTGGTTTATGCTTGACGCATTCACTTTCCGCTTGGTGATGCGGCTCGCGGATGGAACGAGCTTCACAACTTGCAGCTTTTATGGTTCATGCGGCTCGTCTCTGCGGTGAGTCAATATTCTCCCAAACTGAACGGGGCAGCATGGAGCTCTACGGCATGCATCCAACACTACACCATAGTAGAAGTAGAAATTACTGTTTACAACATGGCATTTCAGCATTTTTACCAGCGTCCTCGTCTTTTCCGACAGTGCGAGCTATTTCTCTCCAAGAGTTATTAACAACATGTTGATCACGGTGATCTCTGAGAGCTGAATCATACAAATGTCTGTGTTTACGAACCTCTGCCATACTAGTTCTTGCCGGTCCGCCATGTTTTTCCGCGTCCGTCCGTCCGCGTGGTTAGAAATTTTCCGAGGTGCGCATTGCGGAAATTCTGGGCCGTGCGGAGGCGCGGTGGAGGGGCGTGGTTGTTAAAATGACGCAACTTTTCCGTGCGGACCTCGCGGACGCATCAAGCATAAACCAACCTTAAGACTCTGGTTGGAGGTGACTTGCTCTTTAAACTTCTCCACTTGAGGCAGGACCTTCTCCCTGACCCGGAGAAGGCATGTTGATTCACAATAATTATCTACATGGTCACAGTAGTAGTATTTTTAAGAGAAATTATTTTGAAGATAAATTTAAAACTTTTTTATTGGAACAAGCATATGGTTAGGCTGTATTATTTCTAATTGATATCCTCCTTTTATAGATATAGTTTTATTCATAGATAAGTGCTTACAAATGTTTCACTGTTAGCTTAATTTTATGGCCGTGTATGGATGTGTGTGTAAATGTTTGTGTGTGTGTGTGTGTGTGTGTGTGTGTGTGTGTGTGTGTGTGTGTGTGTGTGTGTGTGTGCATGTTTAAGTTTGACCTCAACCATCAAAAGGAAATGTGAGTTCATGGTAAAATCCAATGCTAAGAGAAGAGAGCGATAATATTGTGAACAGAATTTCATGAGATGTTTTTGCCGAACCGTTCCTGGACTACAAACCTCAGCAGACAGAGCAGCTGTTACATAGAAGAACCAGGTCACATTTGTTTTCTACATAGCAGTTTATCAAGGCAGTAGTGGTGATGATGCTGATGGTACAAGTGGAAATAATGATGAGGGCAGCACAGGTCATATTATTATTTAATGACAATATCGGTTGTGATACACCCACGTTATCTTATGACACTATCAACACTACATGTAGGGATTTAGGACAGTTGTTTGCAGCTTGAGTTTGTCATTTGTTGGAAGCCTTTGCATTATTGCTACTGCTCATGTCAATATTACCATGTTATTACATTTTCAATACTGCAACATCAATAATCATCTACACCGTACAGGGGTCCTCAGTTATAACGGTCCGAGGGCTACTCACAAAAAAGACCCAGAAGCAAGAGGGCCGGATTTTTGGGGGGGGGGGGGGGGGGGGGGGGGGCTGCTGTTTGGATCGCTGGCTGTGATGCACATAACACACAAGCTTGCAACATAAAGAAGTACCTTTCTCAGCGGCCTAGAGGTAGAGTGTCCGCCCTGAGACTGGGAGATCAGGGTTTGATTCCTGGCCGGGTCATACCAAAGACTTAGAAAAAATGGGACCCAATGCCTCCCTGCTTGACACTCAGCATTAAGGGGTTGGATTGGGGGGTTGAACCACCAAATAGTTCCCGAGCGCGGCTGTGTCTGCAGTTCACTGCTCCCCCAGGGGATGGGTCAAATGCGGAGAACAAATTTCGCACACACACCTGTGTGTGTGACAACTAATGGGACTTTAACTTTAAGAACACCTGTCCCTCTCCAGCTCAGCTGTGTGACTGCACTAACCTGTCCTGTGGGACCCTCACCATGTAACCCTCATGTCCATGCCGTCTCTGGAGGAGCAGATCATACAAGATCTCCCGTAACTTAAAATGAACCAAAGCCTCCTCCCAGTTTCTCTTTAAGCTGAATTTAACATCAGTTTATCATCATTAAACAAAAGAATAAAGTGGAACAATAACTTCTATCTTCTATTTCTCTCTCCTTTTAACTTCTCCGTGTCCCTAAATAAAAGAGACAGATGATCACGCTGCAGCCGCCGTCACTCACCCCGCTCCCTCCCCAAGGCCAGATCTCTCGACATCACAACACTGACTGAGCGCTTCGAAGAGAAATAATAATGAAATTATGAAAATAATAATGCGTGTTTGGAGGAGTGTCCTCCGACCCCCTCATCTCAGTCGCCGATTGAGCGAGCAGAGTGCGCCGTGCGACAACCCGCTCAATTAACATAATTCACGGCCCAAATCCAACAGAACCAATTGGGCTGATTCGGTTCGGTCTCAGGTTACAACTCCAGCACTCAGCCCTGCAGTACCACATAAAGGCGGACCAAAGTTTCCTACCCGGTAAATGTGGAGAACACCCACTTTGACAGATTTGGATGCTGGTGCCGCCGTTAAAATAACAAAACCACATTCCACTATAATTGATTAAGGTACTCTTCTATGACGCAGAAATAGTTTATGCCCGCATCTCATGCATTGATTATGAGTATTTTCCTCAGCTCTATCTATGCTACACCTCCCGGTCGGCCATCGCGGGTGGGGGTTTGGGGGCCACAAAGAGAGGGCTCGCCGGCCGGACGTGGCCCGCGGGCCGCCATTTGCGGACCACTGATCTACACACATGGTGATATTACCTCCTTATCTGGATCACCTACGTATGTAAACATCCCACCAGTTAACTAAATATATTCTAATGTTACTTTTATATCAGATACACTAGCCCACATCAAAACAATAAAATATGCAGTAACATTTATGCATATTTATTACTAGATGGCTGTATATCACTTTATACCAAAATGGGCAACATTTATTCTGAAGAATTTTTCCCACAACCTTGAATGTGTGTAAATTGACAGAAAATACTTTAATGTTTTTATGCATTCATTGAGAAGATAAGGTGTTTTTCACCGTTCTTAAAACAGTTGAAATAAAGATTATTCTCAAAACTAAAAACTTATGTACACTTGACATTTCATGGGAATAATGCAAATACTCATACAGATAAAGATCATTCTTTCAGCATTTCCAGAAGTTTGAAAAACACCTTGTGTCACTTAGTTATTACAGTAATTTCTACTAAAACCTAACATTTAAACTAGGTAATTTGTTTATGTTTATGTATTTAGCAGACACTTTTGTCCAAAGCGACTTACAAGTTATAATCGGCATGTTGCCCTTGAGGCTAACAACAACAAACAATTTTCAGTCAGTCGTAGGTGGCAGTGAGGCTGCATGATGAATCACGGAGAGGAGGGAACACGGAGTGGACAGGAGAGAGGAGGACGGGTGCAGGGAAGGTGCTAGTTTAGAAGATGCTCTCTGAAGAGCAGGGTCTTCAGGAGTTTCTTGAAAGTTGAAAAAGAAGCCCGTTCTTGTAGTGCTTGGTAGGCGAGTGTGCTCTTTTTGGCTGATTGAAGACCAGATGTGCCGTTGCGTTCTAGACCATTTGAAGAGGTCTCACAGTACAGACTGGAAGACCAGTTAGAAGGGCATTGCAGTAATCGAGGTGGGAGATGACAGTAGATTGCACCAGGAGCTGGGTGGCATGTTGTGTTAGGTATGGTCTGATCTTTCTTATGTTATACAGCGCCAAGCGGCATGAACGAGCAACAGAGGTAACATGATCTTTAAAGGTCAGGTGTTCATCAATCTCAACACCCAGATTTCGAACTGCCTTTGAAGGAGCCAGAGATAGGAAGTCATTTTGGATTGAGATATTGTGCTGTATGGATGGTTTTGCTGGGATGACAAGTAGTTCAGTTTTAGAGAGGTTCAGTTGGAGATGGTGGGATTACATTATTATGCACTGCTACTACTTGCCCACTTAATCAGCTTCAAGTAAAAATATAAATCTTTAACCATTTTAATTTTGGCTGTCAAGTTATTTTACCGAATATGAGCTGTAAACGATAAACAATGAATGTGGTAGTATCAACAATCCATTATTTGGCTCAACTCCTGTAACACACTTCCGTTTTTCTGTTACAATCCCAGTGATCGATGCAAACTGCCAGCTAGCAGCAGAAATACAGGGTCCCAATGCAGCCTGTGACAATCAAGACTAGAATACAATGAATTCGTGCTTTTTGTAGCTCACCTCATCTTCGGACTCGTTGTGAGGGACAGAGAAGCAGTTGGTCACCTCAATAGAGTGCTTGTCAATAGTACCTAGAACACACCAGATAGAAATGAGTGTCTCGTTGGGTTTCCTGGTGAATCAGCATTTACGTTCAGCTCCAGCGGTTACCAGATGCGGTTTGATTCAACACTGAACCGAGCCAACGTGCGCTAGCAGATTAGCTGAGGAGTTAGCTATAGCATTTTAGCTAGGAAAATTAAGTCTCCTCCCCCGGCTGGACAGATATTTCAGGTTTCTGCTTACCCAAGAGAGTTCCGATCACTCGACTTGCCCCCTCATTCCGACGCTCGTAAGAGTCAGAGATAGAAGCAAGAACGACGGGATGAATTTTCACCACTGGCCCGAACACCGACATCTTGGAGAAAGAGGACGTACCACCGTCCACAGCGACAACATACACCGCCACCTAGAGGCGGGCGGGCAAACTGCAGCTATTGAATCCTACGCTAATAAACAACTCGTCAACAGTGACGACCCAACAGGTAAACACCTGTTTCTGAAAGCAAATAGAACATACTCTTTTTGATTTTTCATGGTTTAGGGCGTAACTTGTATAGTTTTGCAACAATAAACGCACACAAAACAACAAATGCAACTGTTTATTTAATTAAAGCTAAATGTCACACATTTATGATTAAATGCAAAAACTGCAGTTGCTGTGGGGTCAGCAGGTGGGTGGAGGAAGACCGTCCCCCTTCTGTTGTAGAGATGAGATGAGCCTGAGCGAGGAAGGGTTACAGGGGCTGGACTGATGATGACAGCGTCCTCCGCCGCTCAGAGGCTGCACACCTGCCGACTCCATGAGACGCACAGATGAGATGATGGAGCTTTTCGCGCTGCCGGCTCATCCTGTTGCCACCATTTCGCACATCCTGGCACATGTTTTACAGACGCCTCTGCGCAGTCGTTGAAGTTAAAATGTGTGTTTTCTCACCGGATGACGTTTTTATTTACTGCGATTATTGAGCGATCGTTTTCGAGGCGCTTTCTTCCCCTTCTCCGGGTCGGTTTCCCGGACCGGCTCGCTGGTAGCTATAAAGAGCAGAAATGGGAGTCACCGAATCAAGGTTGCCAGCACCGGTTCGTTCATGGACCAGATGGTTGTTCATAGGATAAAACATCAGCTCGATCAATGCCAGAAGTTTCCACACTGAGCGGGTAGGTTTTTATTCATTCTCTGCTGGTTTTGGCACGAATCCGCTCTCTGGATCGTTTGGTTTCTGTTGCATTGTGGCTGACTCATTGACACTGTCAAGAGGCTATTTCTGATCCATCCATCAGGGGTGATGCGTCATCTTGATCTATCTCTCCTCCTGCATGGACGCACAACATCTAGGTCTGTGGAGGACCTGGACTCCATTTTACTGTGCAAATGATTCAGGAACACCATGCCTCACTGCATGTTTAACTCTGAGTCCTCTATGGGACTTATGTAAGAAATCTCAGCAGGCTCACAGAATAAATCCAACACATTTAACATCAAGTGCATGCTCACACACACACACACACACACACACACACACACACACACACACACACACACACACACACACACACACACACACACACACACACACACACACACACACACACACACACACACACACACACAGAGCCCAAAGCTTTTTGTGAAACTAGCATAATTAAAGTGGCTCTAATGTGCAGCTGCTCTCCAGGATTAGGTTGCCTCTCAAAGGAGAGATTTATTCTGTCCTTGTGTTTCATAAAAACACACATTAACTAACAATAAATGAACAACATAATAATTTCTCTTACGCTGTATAATAAATCAAGTTTGTGCTGTGTGTTATTGCAGAAAAGACAATTTTAGTCAACAATTCCATAAACCCTAAAGGCGTGGGAAACTCATTTAAGCAACTGGTAGGAATGAGTGCCTTGCAAGCTTTACTCTGGGCAAAGAAAGCCCAGAAACGCCTGGATCAGCATGGGCAAGTCTGCCTAGAGGAGAGCTCAACATGGCAGGATTTGGGCTCATATTTCATAATATTTGGACATCTGGCCTCAGATTGGATGACAGAACTGTGACTCTACCTCTGACTTTGTTTGCTCTGAGACATGGATGTTTTATCTCCACAAATAACACAAGCCTGGGGGAGCTTCTGCCATATGGTTGATTTGCTAATGCTAACACTAACAGTTAGCTTCTGCAGGCCAAGATGCACTCTGCTAATTCTAGATGCTAAAGCAACAACAGCCTTCCCCGTCCAGAGCCAGGATGGGTGAAGCTACCGCTTGACGTAGATCTGCCAGGCTTTTCTGATCCTAGCGTTTCACTGTCTATTTTCTGTCAGAAGCTAATGCAGGAGATAGGTGTAGGAGACTATTTTCATGTTCAGCCTGCATGAAAACATACAGAGTGACCCATTATAATCAGAAATGGTCATTAAAAAATGGTTTTCCAGTGTTCTACACTTTTAAGAGAAAACAATAGAAAATCTATTTTCTGTCAAAACAACAAATTGATTCCATGATTTAATTCCATCACTGTTGTTCTCCTCTTTCCTTCCAGGCTTCAGTCAAGCAAACAAATGGTCCAATCAATAGCAACTGGACACAGTCTAACATAGGGAGGATATCAATAACACGCTAATACACTTCACACACGCAGAGGCCATGGCAACGGAGAACTCTGTCTTCCCTTCACGTCCCGACTCCTTGGCACTCCCCGTAGAGGACAAGGGTGACGGTGAGGAACCGGAGGTGGCCTCTACAGGAGTCTTCAACCTGTCAGAGGAGCTGGGACACGTCGTCACCACTCAGACGACAACATCCCCTCCCGCCTTGACTAAGGTCAACAGGTCGTTCCAGTCCAAGCTGGCTGAGCGGGAGGCCAACGCCAATCAGCAAAGGAAGAAGACCCAGGGGACAGAAAAAGAGAGGGGACGGTTCGGGTGGGGTGAGTGAGTCGGACATCTTGTCCTGGTTTAACCTGCTTCATGACTAAACGAGTGTGCATGAAAAGGCGTCGTTTTACTCAACCTGAATGTTGCGAGCACATCACCGTGGACTATTTTTGCACTCAACTCTCTCAGGAACTGGAAAACATTTTCCCCTAAATGCTGACTCCTCCTCTAATTTGGTCCATGCTGCAGAGCTTCACCCCTCAGTGATTTTGACACATTTGCACACCTCTGCTGAAGTCAGGAAATCCAGACTGTCAGGATCCTAATGGGAGAAACGGGTAAACATCCAGTATTCTGTTCGGAGTCATCCCTCATTTCTTCCTACTTTGCTGCCATGGAGCCAGACTGTCTTGTAATCTTCTAAAGCAGTCTTGATCAATTATTCTCCAGGCTTTCAGGAGGTTTATCAAAGTTTTTCATTGATTGTCAGTTGCTTAATCACTCTTCTCAATCTTTCAAAAACGTTGGGGATTCGTTATCTCTGAAAGCAGGTTTGTTGTAGAAGACTAAATTAATTCAAAATACCAGAAACGGTCCACTCTGCTAACATATACACAACAAGTGCAACATTAGAGGTTATGCAAAACAAACGTATGGAATTTATTCATGTTACCAGAAAATATGAACAGATCTTTCCGAAACGTCTTCACATGAAAGAGCAGGAATCAGTTGTTCTTGTAGCGTTTCTTCTTCAGGTGTTTGATGATCCATCACACTTCATCTGTTCTCCTCTCCTCACCTGTCTGTTTTCATTTCTGTTATCCTTTCTTCTTTTTCTAAGCAGTTTTCTCCCTTGGCACCTCCATTCATTCATCTTCCATTCATCTGACTAAATCCTCCTATGAATTCAAAGTCGCATCATCAGACAGAAACGTAGGAGACTTTGTATGTCCTTGCTAAATGTTTTTGAAGGAGTTACTCTAACTCAGGATGAAACTAAAAGACGAACTTCCGTGTTTGTGTTTCTTGTTCCTTCCATCAGCCCGGACTCGACGTAAGAGGCAGCGCTATGTGGAAAAGAACGGTCGCTGCAATGTGCAACATGGCAACATGCGAGAGACCTATCGCTACCTTACCGACATCTTCACCACACTAGTGGATCTCAACTGGCGCTGCTCGCTCTTTGTCTTCGTCATGGCCTATGCTGTCACATGGCTCTTCTTTGGTGCCATCTGGTACCTCATCGCCTACATCAGGTGAGGCTGGAGTGAAATCAGTGCATGAAGTTACTGATTACAGAAGGTACTGTTGATTCTTTTTTAAAGAGCAAGTCACCCCCTACCAGAGCCTTACTCCGCTCCCACTTCCTGTTTGAAATATGCAACAAATGATGTTGCCTGGCAGACTGAGAGGGTTGAGCCGCTAACAAATACACATACACAGGCTCACAGTGGCATTGAGACATCTTATGGTACCAGCTGACATCACAGTGTACTTCTTAGCCAATAGCGATGGCAGATTTAAATTCAAATGTAGTGCAGAGTTTTTACCTGAAGACGGCACAACGCTGACAGTTTTAGGCAGAAAATTAAAATTTCAACTAGGAGGCACTAAAGGGCCAGATTATTGAGTACACGTGTCTTCAGCACAATTAGACACTCGTTTGTATAGTTTGAGCAAAAAAGGTTGATTTGGGGGTAACTTGCTCTTTAAATAAAAAAATTAACAGCAGAAGAACTTTGTGAAACTTTCAAAAGTTGAGCTAAAGCAATAATACCCGAAACACAATGGGAGCATTTATCATAGTTTACATGTACGTTAGAAAACGGAATTATTAAATGAAGTGCATTCGACTCTGCAGTGGTAGGTATCAACCTTCACCCTTTTGTGTTGGCATTCCTCTGGTTAGCCTGTAGCAACACACAAATAGTAACCAAACGCTGGTGTGAATGATGGAGGCGGAGAAAAAGCAGAAAGCACAATGGCTGAAGAAATGGATGAAAGCAATGCAGCAAGGTACATGTGGTGCATACTGTTCTGTTTGATGGTGTTACATGTTAGATCCAGTGGCGACGGATGAATTTTTTCATAGAAGAGCATATTTTAACAAATGTAGATGTTGTGGCACATGCCAGCCGAGCCACATATTCTCCAACCATAACCTGACGGAACCTCGGATGTAAAACGAACAAAGCTAATTTTATGAAGTCAAACGTGTAAATTCAGTCTTACCGTTGTTGGTTTATGGTCGTAGTAATTTGTGTTAAAGTACAAAAATCCACTTTTTTACCTGCTGGAGAATGTTTATGAGTCTCTGATGTTACATTCCATCATTTTCTGGTTTTTCATATTAAAAAACTTCATGAGGTGTACTTCAGCTGCTCAACAACAAAGGACGGTGGACTGTGGACAATTTCCGGTTCTGTCCTGACCTGAGCTGAGACTCTGCCCTGTCGGTCTTCTGTGGATGTTTTTGCGGTCGATATAGAATAGAAGAGCCAAAGACTCCTATTGTATTGTAATGGAGGGGGGAGGGATCCAGCGTGCCTGCGCCAGATACAGCGTAGGTCTATGGGAAAGATTTCTGCGGCTAAAAGGAACAGGAAATACACCACAGGACGATTTGGTCATGGTAAAAGTGTGAAATAACATTTTAAACTACACTGAAATGCAGATGAAATTGAGCACATATAGTCTGTATGATGTATAGATTGTTTAGTTTAATTTTCATGTTTTTTTCCCCCTTCTTCTTGTGAGAGTGGTGGGGCGGCCCCCTAGCGCCCCCTATGGTACGAGCCGCCAGAGTCTTGAGACAATGATATTATCAGATGGCCGCATCTGTGCTCTTGTCACTCCTGGAAAGGCCCAGGCCAGTCATAGCTAAGCTAAACAGGGTGTGGTTAACATGCAGAGAACTTCAATTAAAGTATGCCATAATTTAATCCATTCAGGGGACAGGGAGAGCGGCTGTGTGGCGTAAAAAGTGCCATTCAGTGACTAGAAGGATCGTCTTTTAAATGAAGCTCTTTAGAAGACAAAGCAGAGTAAATCAAGGTATTGTGGGAATTTTCAACAGCATTTTCTGGTGTTGGGAGTTTATAAACGGAGGTTTTAAAGCAGCGTCAACATTGCATATTTTATTCTGTTTTAAGTCTGCTTCGCCAGCAACTCTTCCAATTTTATAAATGCTGGTTGTTAGGCAATGTCTGCCATAAACTGTCTTACAGAGTTGCAGCCAATCAGCACGAGTCAGCCACAAGCCCCGCCCAGTGGTTCTACCGTGCCATTTCTGAGTGCATACCTCAGTTCAGGTACTTGGTTGGTCCCTGAAATAGGCTGGGAAGTGCTCTTTTTGGGTTGGGCTGGTGAAAAGGAGATAAACCCATGTTTGGAACGGGCCAATGGTTCCCAGCTGGGAAAGGATGGTATACTCCTTCCCGGTTGGGAATGTGTCTTTTCCTGAAGTGAATGAGTGATGGTGGGACGGTGGATGTTTGGGGCTTTATCTTCTATAATGTCTTTAGTGACAGTCAGGTCAAAGGTGAACTCTCACCTATGATCGTGAGATTTGATCATGACCAAAACCAGATTCCACCTGCATCAGTTGACCTTTTTTGTTGCATGACCATGTTTAGCCGTAGCAAGAAGACAAGGAGCTCCATCATTCAGGTGGAGGCTGCTTCTCCAATCATAATGGAGTCAGCTGTGGTTTCATGTTCATTTCACGTCTTGTTTACTGTTTTTGAATCTGCAGCTTTTTTGCATTTGTTTCAACTCCACATGCACACACACACACATTCCTCACCAGTGGCAGTTGTACCATTAGGCATAGGTCGGCGGCTGCCTGGGACCCCCTTGTTGGGGGACCCCCTAGCCCTGACCGCCGGCACCCCTCTGTTATTGCCACAAAATTCTTATTACCAACCTGCCGCCGCTGACGGGATTGGACATGCGCACTTCTCAGTACCATAATTCCTGAACCGTTCAAGATATAATTAAAATTCAAAAAGTGCTGAAAAGATTCAAAATGGGGCTTTTCGTGCATATACAGTACATTACGGTAGCCCCGGGATTCCCTGTTTTGAGCGCAACGAATCACAACACAGATAAAGAGACGTGCTGAGTTTGTCATCCAAAATGCTCCATTTTATAACTTTTGAATGGGTGATCAGATTAAAAAAATTCCAATGGTTCAAAAAAGTACATAGAAGCAGCTTTCCAATGATCTATAGCAGTGGTTCCTAACCTGGGGGTCCCGACCCCCACAAGGGGGCGCAAAAGCCTCTCAGTGGGTCACCAGGACCTCTCCACTTTAACGCCGGGGACACACTGGCCGCGGAAGCGCCGCGAAAATGGGGCCGCCTTCATTCGGCGCCCTTGTTAAGCTATTCTATAGACCACATGGGCCGCCGAAGCGCTGCGAATTGCCTTGCGCCGGCGCGCGCCGGCGCCCCAGCCCACGCCGTGCAGCGATCATTTCAGCGTCGGCTCTATTTTTTTCGCGAGCCGCGGGTGAATCGCGTCAATTCTGGCAGGAAGTCAAACCTAGACATAAGAGGCAGGCCGGTAAAGTTAACAAAATAAAGCATTTCAAAATAAAATTCCGCAATAGTCAAATGTGTTCGTAATCAGACACTGCAGAAAAACCACACGAACACACACACACACATCGAACTTGTGTGCATGTGTGACCACGTGAAGGGGTGTGTGGTTTTGGGTGTCTTTTCACCGGAGCAAACAGGACAGAGAGGTAGAAAGTCTGAGGCAAGCAGTTAAGATGGATGACTTTAAATTAATTATGGAAGTTGAGAAACACAAGGAGCTGTACGACCCCCGAAAAACATGATTATTTACGTACCCATTTCGGAAGAAACTGCTAGGATACAGCTGCAGAATTGGAGCGGGTTCCAAGAGATTCAACTGGCAGAAACAACTCATACCATAGGTTCTCACACACACACACACACACACACACACACACACACACACACACACACACACACACACACACACACACACACACACACACGCACATGCGCGCACGCACACACGTAGAGGAAAATAGCTGAGAAAAGGCAGAGAGGAAATGGAGGACACCAAGTGTTTAAAATAAAAACTACAGCTGAGCCGAGGCGCGCCTCGACTGGGTCTGATCTGAACTGAGGAGCGGCGAGCAGCGGCCGAATTTCGTGAGCGATTCGCTTCTCGGCGCTTCGCGGCGCTTCCGCGGCCGGTGTGTCCCCGGCGTAAGGGGTTAAAACTTCATTTATTACTTGTTTATAGCCTACATTTTGCTCACATTTTTTTTCATGAGTGAAAAGTTTACTGATATTAAGACAGGAAATAATTAGTACAGAAAAAGTAACACACTTTTAAGAACATTTTGCTCAGCTCACTGTTTTATTTTCAAGTGTCAAAAGTTCATTAAAGATAGGACTGGTTGATTAATCACAGCCTTTACAGTAAATCATCTAGTATAAACAGTAATATACACATTAAAGTACATTTTGCTCAGTGTATTTTTTATGTGTCAAACGTTTATTGAAAGGAATGATTGATTTATCAGTGTTTACAAGAAACAATGTGTTCAGAAAAGTAATACAAACTGTCAAGCACATTATGCTCTGTTTGGTTTTGTTAATGACTTTGTTCTGTACTGGAGCCTACTATTACTGTTATCTATTGAATCAAAGCATATTAAAATGTGCTTGAACAATTTTATCATTTCTTAATAATGTTTGTACTGGAAGAAAGAATGGGAGGGGGTCATCAAAAATTTTACTGGTAAAAAACGGGGTCCCTTGGGAAAAAGGTTGGGAACCACTGATCTATAGCATGAAGCAATCAGAGTTATGGAAAATATCGCTACCTACGAGGGGAAATCCTGCTGTACAGCCTTGAAACGGAGCACAGCGCCGCGGTGAAAGCGGATAATGGAACGGGGAAGCTAATTAGCATAAAAAGCCGGCATGAAATTATGGAAATGCCTCAAAGAAAATCAACACAATCTATTAGATGTCCCAGAAGGCTTATATCTGAAGACAGTGACCACGAAGAAGGAGAGATCTCCAGTGAACCAGGATATGAATGTTTGTTCAGTATTTATTTTTAATTTTTTAATTTGAACAACCCTCAACTATTTGCTAATTGTAAGATTCAGCTTCATTCCAGCATTATTTATCTTTTTACAATAAATAATTATTTTTGCAAAACAAAAGTTTTTGGTGTAGCAGTGCATGGTGTGCAAGAGAAGCAC